GGTTTCAGACAAGGCGACTCCCTATCGTGCGACTTGTTCAACCTGCTTCTGGAGAAAATAATTCGAGCTGCAGAACTAAATAGAGAAGGTACAATCTTCTATAAGAGTGTACAGCAGCACGACATTCTTTTGACAGACCGAAAAGGAGCTGCCTTTGTCTGAATTTGGTATCCCAAAACGGTCCAGTAATAAGTTATATATTTTTGAGTGCTTATTTATTTACTGATGATATTTGTTTATGAAGACGCATCGGCATTGGCCAAGAATTTTAAATTGATCAGACAATAAATAAGTCTTGCACTATATAAAATAGCTGCTCATAATATCATGAATACTGCTCATAAAACAATACTTAATCTTCCAACATTACTTTATTGATTAGCATGTTTATGGAATCGTTACAGAAATAGCAGAGATGTATTTTGAAATTCATTAAAAACAAAAGTTGATTACATAAATATTGCACCACCGCTTAACACTTACCTCTAAATCCGGTCCTGGATATGAAATACGTTTGACTTTTTCGATTTCGTCTTTGTATTTTCTGTAATATAGAAATAAACAAAATTGTGGGAGTATGTACTACTGTATATTAACTTACAAGTATCAAATCCTAAACAATTTTATATAAACATACACGACATATAACTTATACACTGACCTACATATATATTTCGCATAAGCTTTGTCAGAAAAGCCAAAATCATTATACGTGGTCATTATAGAAAATCCGTTCCGAAATTTTCATTGAGATAACTCAAATAATCGGCGATATATCCAGCACGAAGTCAACAGGAAGTGTTAAACTATTTATATGAGGTATATGGGGGCTCAGGGAAGTATTGACCCGATTCCACCAATTTTGGATACACAGATCTACTACTACAGGAAAACGATTTTGTCTGAACTTCTATTACGTATTATGTAAGATAACATTAGCCGATATTTTCGATAAAAATCAACTATAGATACTGGGAGCCACATACTTGGTACCTAGGGTCTTGAACAGTTTTGTTTGGATTCAAACAATTTTTTGTCATAAACTGGCATGCACTAAAGGCATTATTCGTGCAAAGTTTAATATATTAATTACATCTTGATTTGTGTATTTTAAATTATGATATATGGGAAGTAGACATGGTTGTTTTCCGATTTCACTCATTTTCACAGAGTGACATAGGAATATGAAAGGAATGCCACGTTCCAAATTTTGGCGAAATCGGTCAGTCGGGTCTCAAAATATGTAATTTCACCAAAAAATAAGGACGGTGCCACGCCCATCGTCCAATTTTTACCCCGGTCCCTATAAATTCTTGTTATAGCATCAATTATTGATTTATCGGGCATTTAGTAGTTTTAAACGGTACCGTATTTGGTTATTGTAGCTTAAGTAGCTTAGGACATATCCACATTAATACACACAGGTACCTCTTGCTATTGTGACCCCCTGTGCCAAATTACAGTTTTATATCTTAATTTAGGGCTTAATTATGGCACTTTATAGGTTTTCAGTTAATGGCGATTTGTAGGCGTGGCAGCGGTCCGATTACGCCCATCTACGAACTCGATTTTTTTGTACTAAGAAATCTGCATACGAAGTTTTATGATATCTCAATTTTTACTCAAGTTACAGCTTGCACAGACGGACGGACAGACAGCCAGTCAAACGGATTTCAACTTTTTTCATCACCCTGATCATTTATATAGTATATATAACCCTATATATAGCTCGATTAGTTTTAGGTGATACTTACAACCGTTAGTTGAACAAAACTATAATACACTGTAGCAGTCGGTTGCAAGAGTATAAAATTTTAGCATTAGATATTCTATTACTAACTAAAAGGACCAAATGTCCCAAAAGGGCTCTATCAACAAAATATCTAATGGCTCAGTTTTTGAGATATCGATCTAATATTTTGGACATGTCTATATCTCTTTAAGAAGCTTTATATAGCTGCCTTACAAATTTTGTCGATCAAAATTCAGTCTTTGTATGAAAAACTCTTTTTAATTTTCAATATATCTTCACGAAGTTTGGCATGAATATTTATCCAAAACAACGATACAATTTCCGAACAAATTGTTCCGATCGGACTACTATAGCGTATAGCTTCCTTATAAGCCGATCGATCAAAATCAAGTTCTTGTGTAGAAACCTTTTTATTGGTGAAGAGTATTCTAGCTTACGTGCACTCGAAGTTAAAGTTGCATACTTATTTTTGTCAAAATTAATACATGAAGGTCGCTTTGACTGCTATTCTCTATATATCTGAAGAACCGAACACGAAAAAAAGTCGGTAACACAACTATATTGCAACCTATATGCAATAAGCTATAAACTTTGTTCCGAAAATATTCTGGAAAGAGTTCATTACTATTTTCTAATACAAATAGGTTTCCACAAAAAATTTATTTCTTTCTATTTTTTTTTTGTAATCTCTATGCCGGAAAACTGCACTATTTCGATCAGATGCATAATGCAACCTGCAATATATAATAAGTAATTGCACAAAAAATTAAATCAAAATCAATTGTGCTAGTTAATATGTCATTGTAAGTGATTTATGTGAAATATAATTTTTTTATTATTGTTTTATTATATTTGTGAATTTTTTGGAAATTTTGTAAAATGAGTAGAAAGAGATTGTATCAAATGTGCTAAAAGAATAATCCGTTAGACTTCAAAGCTTTTATCAATTAAAAAAATTCTTATTTTTTTGTACAATTCACCGAAAGATCGAATAAAAATCGGTTTTTACTAATAACGTTAAGTCTGATCTGGCGATACTGTTTCATCTACGCTTTCTATTTCTCATATCTCTTTTATCATACATTTCTGTTTGTTATTATCTTTGTTTGTTAATACAGTAGAGTCCGGTTATAACGACTCCGCTTATAGTGTCCCGCCGGTTATTGCGACGAAAACTCGATGGCTTGGTTGGTCCCCATASAAACTTATATGAAAGGGCCTCCGCTTAGTACGTCTCCGCTTTTAGCGACTAACCGCTTATACCAACGAAATTTTTCAGAATTCAACCGGAAATAGCGACGAAAAAAAAATTCAGCAAAATAATGCCCACAAATTTAAGCATCAAACGACGTAATTAGAAATGTATGTATTTATCAGTGATCGTTGTTGTTGTAAAGGCAGAAATTCTGCCGAGTTGACAGTCCATGGCCGGATAAAAATCCGGGTCCGTTCCGGTTTTCGTAGACCCGATTGTCGTGGGACCGGTATTTATCAGTGATCGACACCCTTGCTTGTATGCGTAGCAGCGACACGAAGGCTCTTACACTCTCACTACTTTCTGTCAGTTTTAGCCGTCGCCTTAGCAACGCTGCTGCTAGAGAGAGATAGTCGAAGTGCAATGTTGATGTCATACAAAGGTTTACAGCTTCGTGTGCAGACCACATAGCCTATTCGATAGGATGTCCCGTTATATTTCTAGTTTCTTCTGCTTTTTTCCAATTTTCCATTTTTTTGAATGCGTAAATTCGCCAAATGTGAGTTAATGCACAAAATGCGCAATAAGGAAGTCATTCAGTTTAAGCTCGACACTTGTGCATTACACCCGCAAAATGTCTCAAAAACGAAAGTACTTGTCTGTTGAAGAAAAAATGCAAATTATTCGGCGCCTGGAAGCCGGTAAGCGCAACGTTTCTCTGGCAAAAGAATTCTGCCTGAGCCACACAACAATTGCCACAATCAAAAAAATAAAGAAAAAATTAAAGCGTTATTTAATAGTAATAWCTTAAAGCCGAAACGCGTCAGAGCTTCAACTCAAGATCAAGTGGACRAAGCATTGTTACAGTGGTTCATATTGCAACGCAGTCGAGGAATCCCATTAAGTGGTCGACTGCTTCAAAAAAAAGCAAATTTTTTCGCTAAGCAATTTAAAATTGAAAATTGTCAGTGGAGAATCTTTGTCTGTACAAAAAATCCATGTTAGCGAGTGGCTAACAAAGGTTTGGCCTATACTACGAAAAAATTCCACTGATGAGGAAATTTTTAATGCCGACGAAACTAGACTATTCTACAAATTAACTCCTGACAAAACATTAAAATTTAAAGGTGAGAAGGAAAATTATTTTAAAGAAATCTGTTTATTGAAATTTTAATTTATAGGTGAAAAATGCACTGGAGGGAAGCTGTCCAAGGAAAGGAGAACTGTGCTTGTTGCTGCCAATATGAGTAGTAATATTAAAAAGCATTTATTGGTTATTGGAAAATCAAAGCGACCTAGATGCTTTGAAAATGTTCAGCCTTTGCCTGTTGACTGCTATAGTAATCGCCGGTCATGGATGACATCTACAATTTTATTAATTGGGTACGGGTTTGGGATGCTGAGCTTAAAAAGCAGAAAAAGAAGATATTGCTATTAGTTGATAATTGTCCAGCCCATGCCCAAATTAATGACCTAACGAATATCACATTAGTTTTCCTTCCACCAAATACGACATCTGTATTACAACCAATGGATCAAGGCATAATTCGAGTGAAAATAACACAGTACAACAGCTAATCTGAGGGGTGAGAAATTCCAAGTCAGGGTGATGGTACTAGGTCAGTATAGTAAAACCCGCAATGGGTTTGGCGTTCGTATGTGTCAGTTTTTTTATGACCTTTTACATTTTTTCCTTATCTTGATGTTTTTTCGCTTAGTTGTAACATTTTCGCAAAAGCGACTGCAAAACAATCAAAAATTAGTGATTATTTAAATTAAGAATAAAAAGTAAAATAAAAGAAATTAATCTAGTTATATTAAGTTTATGAATATCCGTTATATACGACCTATTTTGAAAAAACAAGGTTATTGAATTAAATTTTTTGTTTTGATTTAAAAATTAAATTGTTTTATTTTTAAAAGCCTGGTCATTGCGACCTCCGGGTATAACGACGTAAAATCGTCGGTCCCTTGAAAGTCGTTATAACCGGAATCTACTGTATTTCGAAGTTACGGTATTTAAAATTCCTTTGTACTCCTATAAATACCGGAGGACAAGTATGTACGAAACCTTCTCTTCTCTGATTGTAACTCAGTGCTGGCGGTACTCATCGCAATAAAACATTGAGAACTCTACCCGCTGGTAAAATTAATTTCTTAACACTATCTAACTCGTCAGTGAGAGTATTAATAAGAAATATTTCGCATATTTTTATGTTTGAAAACGCAAATTTTCAAATGAGTACAACAATTCACAGTATAAAATCAGCAGTGCAAACTGCGCAGTATTACCAGCATTTACGGAACAACATGACAACCATAACATTCTTCCATACCTTTTGGGCTGCACATTGGTATGTACTCACCGATTTTGTTCTTCTGAGCGTTTCCTCCTTTCTATTTCTCGCTCTAATTTTCTTTTCCACAAATCGTCAGTTTCGGCAATAATTTCCAAACAGTGTTGAAGTGTTGTCAATACTCCAGAAGCCGTAGCACGAAATGTGATAGACTCTCCCTACCAATATATATTTTAGCTAGTATGAATGAGACTGACGAAAAATTTTGCTACTTTAACGCAATTACCTTAAAATCGATTGGCTTCAGACCATCACCCAAATCCAAAGGTTTTCCTGTTAACTTATTAACATCGACACACGCATCAAAATATCTGTATACAAAACGAAATTGCTGAAACTTGCATTATATAAATATGTTTTTACTAACCTTTGAAGAGTTTCTATCTGTCCGAAAAGAATGTCTTTAAACGTCTCTAATTCTCCAACTTTTTCCTTCAAGTTTCTTTGTGATTTTTTCAGACTACTGCCACTAGCTACAGACACTGTGTTAGATTGCAAAGATATTGCGCTTCCATGACGACGCAACGATGTGGTATCAGTGCTTCCTGACTCCTCTTTATACATCTGAAGTACTTCGACCCAGTGCATGCGATCTTCCGGTGTTTCCGCACGTAAGCACCAATTATTGTAATTGTTAACGACCACATCGAAGCGTAGTTCATCAGTATCGTGAGCCTATAAGCGATTTAAAATAAGGCAATTTAGATAAGGTAAATACAACTAATAAAGCTTTTGAATTGCACTAAGAGCTTAAGAATGCTATTAACCAAAACTACAATTGTTAAGTTTCTCGTCTTTTATGACAATATTCTTATAGTTACTTTAAATTATATTAAAAGTACCTTTTTTGCTTCAGTAAATTTTTTTTTTATTATTATAAGCATGTTTTTAAGGAATCTAGAAGTTGTTACAAGAAATATATATTAATTCTTCTAAAGATACCGCAAAATTAAGTGAAAGGTTAGTTATCAAAAACAAACTCAAAGATATGTATGCGAAAAAATGGTTTACATTACGGTAAATACACGTTTCTTACACGTTACAACATATAAAAAGAGATACATATGTATGTATACCTGAAGATTACTTTATGTTGTGCTAATTCAATAAAAATAAGAAAAAACGTTAACTTTGCTTGCACCGAAGCTAAATACCCTTCACAGGTGCATTTCTGTTAGTAACTATGTGTTCAGTTTGTATGGAAGCTATATGCTATAGTAATCCGTTCTGAACACTTTTTTTTTAGATTATATTGTTACCTTAAGCAGTAATCCATGCCAAATTTCGTGACGTTACGACGTCAAATGCGAAACTTTTCCATACAAGCCCTTGATTCCGAACGTTCGGCTTGTATGGTAGCTATATGTTATAGTGAGCCAATCTGAACAATTTCTTCGGAGATAACATTATTGTCTTAGAAAATAATCTATACCAAACTTTGTGAATATACCTTGTCAAATGTAAAAGTTTTCCATACAAGAACTTGATTCCGATCATTCAGTGTGTATGACAGTTATATGCTATAGTTAACCGATCTGAACAATTTCTTCGGAGATAACATTATTGTCTTAGAAAATAATCTATACCAAACTTTGTGAATATATCTTGTCAAATGTAAAAGTTTTCCATACAAGAACTTGATTCCGATCATTCAGTTTGTATGGCAGCTATATGTTATAGTGAGCCAATCTCAACAATTTCTTCGGAGATAACATTATTGTCCTAGGAAATAATCTATACCAAATTTCGTGAATATATCTTGTCAAATGTAAAGTTTTTCATACAAGAACTTGATTCCGATCATTCAGTTTGTATGGCAGCTATATGCTATAGTTAATCGATCTAAATAATTTCTTCGGAGATTATATTGTTGATTTAGAAAATAATCTGGGTCAACTTTTGTGAAAATACATTGTAAAATGTGGAATTTTTCCATACAAGAACTTGACTCCGATCATTCAGTTTGTATGGCAGCTATATGATATAGTAAACCGATCTGAACAATTTCTTCGGAGATTATATTGTTGATTTAGAAAATAACCTGTGTCAACTTTTGTGAAAATACATTGTCAAATGTGAAAGTTTTCCATACAAGAACTTGATTCCGATCGTTCAGTTTGTATGGCAGCTATATGATATAGTGGTCCAATATCAGCAGTTCCCGTAAATGAAAAGCTTCTTGAAGAGAAAATGACGTCTGCAAAATTTCAAAACGATATCTTAAAAATTGAGGGACTAATTCGTATATATATACTTTATAGGGTCTCCGACCCTTCCTTCCGGGTGTTACAAACTTCCTGACAAACTTAACCCATTCAAGACCAATGTGACTTAGACGTCACGACAACATAGACCTTCTTTATTTACCGTAAAAAAAATGGCTAAGGCAAATTTAATGTAAAATGCAACATAATCTCTTCTTAAGCAGTACGATTAAGTTTGCGTCAGTTGCAGTTTTGCTTGTGAATAGATGCTTTGACGTTAGTTTGGTTTTGTGTGTATATCGAAAACAAGAAAAATGTCGAGAAGGGCAAAGGCCAAAAAGTAAGTATGTATATTTTTTTTACTTGCGTGCAATTAAAAAAAAAATTAAGTATGTAGTATTACTAAAAAATATGTGTAGACAAATATTGCGAAATAAAAACTTACAAGTTATTGTGTTTTACTAGTGTCTGATTAAGTTTTTTATTGCTGTGACGTACACGTTACGTTGGTCCTAATACCCTGGTAGTATATATACTGATTTGTTTATATTATTAGATACTTCGAAAATACGGATGAAATGCTAGATTACCTAGAGAGTTTACAGAGTGATGATGAAGGTATTGACAAAGTGTACCTAGAGCCGCCCGATGAAGGTCAGGTGTCCGATGAAGATTCAGGCGTAGAAGACTGCGGCGGTACCATCGAAAATTTAAGCAAGAAGCAGTTGCAAGCGCCATGTGAATTAGTGTGTATTACCAACGACGATGACATATCTGTAGACGATGCACTGAACAATACGGATGACGATATTGCCAATTTAATTTTTAATTCTTCGAAATTCGTTTCAAAACATTGGAGCAAATTTATTGACAGAATCTCCATCTTTCTCAATTCAACGACCACCAGAAATTCTAGAGGAAGAATTAACTATGCGTACGTATAACAAAACTCCTGATAAAATATCAGTACGTAGTAGAAACAGAAAGACATAATACTTCGAAAAGAAACGGTCTTCGAGCGAAAATACAAAAAGTGCCGGCACCACAATTAACTTGGGTGCATCGCTGGTAAATCAAAACCTTTTTTGTTCTGAAAAAGCAATGCCTCACATATTTTCATAATGAACAAGATCTACCTTACGATGAGTCTATGGTTGTTGTTGTTTTATGTCCCCGTTAGGATGGTGGTATACCAGAAGTATATCCAAAAATGTACGGAAAGAACCCTGCGCCATTGTTTTCCATGCTTGATGATCTAAATGACGAAAAAAGGCAATTACCCTATTGCATATATTTTGATAATTTATTTATTTCAGTTTGTGTCTGGCTCGGTTTGAAAGAGCGGGACTACAATGGCACTGGAAAAATGTGAGAAATTATGATTCCTAGGTCTTGCCCTTTGCCTGATAAAAAGGCTCTAAAAAAGAAATAACGTGGACACATAAAAAGCATAAAACTGGAAAGTGCAGAAATATACACAACCAAATGGACTGACAAGTCTATTGTTACTGTAGCTTCAACGATTTGCGGAAAATATCCAGTGTCCAAGGTCTGTCGATATTCACGAGAACAACGCCGAAAAATCGACGTCCCCCGGCCATATGCGGTAGCCATGTGCAATGCTTCAATGGGACGTACAGATCGAATGGATCAGAACGTAAATGTTTACATAATTGCCGCTAGGGACAAAAAATGGTGCTTTTCGAATTCCGAAAAGTGAAGCAGAATGTTGAACGAAAGAAACGATGGCATCGATCACTTTGTGGAGGTAGTTCCTGGTAATAACTGTCGACGTTACCAAAGCCTGTGTACTAAATGCTTCAAATGCTATCATTTTATAAATGTTAACTAATCTTTTTTTACTCTTCCTTACTTTATCTCGAAATACGAATGTTCCTTTTTTATTTAAGTGAAATGTAAAATACAAAGTATGAGGACCAACGTGACGTATACGTCACAGGCTCCTGGCACGCCTCTGTGAACATTTTGATTTTTTCGGATTTTAATTTAGCAGGTCAAAATTAGTATGTCCTACAAATTTCAATATTTTACGTAAATTTTAAGCGTTCTGTCCTTTATGGGTTAATATACCCTGTTTAGGGTATAAATATAAGAGAGGCAGAAATACTAGCGAAGAGATGCTGCCTAGCAGGGATTCTGCTGAAAATTTTATCGGAAAATTAAGTAAGTAAGGTTAGCTTCTGTAAAGACGGGAATGGTTACCAGATATTAGATTACCGGGGTACATTCGAAATTTGAAGGAACAATTTTTCTTTTGAGTTGTTGAAAGCCGGCGGCGAGGAGCTTGAAAGAAACAGGTTCAAGCTGCTAAGCATGATTTGATAGAATGAATACATGCCCAATGATTTGAATTAACATAAGTGTACTCTGCCCTAACCACAAAACCGAGTTTCCAGTCTACTCTAATTATCAAACACCCTAACTCTAACCACAACCAGTAACTTCGTCAAAATGGGTTAAGCATCCGCAGACCCTAATACTGCCCACCACATCATCACCAATACTCCACACCTGGGGACACATTGGATTTCCCCATAGTAGATGTCAACTATCAAAAGGATGGGATCATCGCTGTTTTTACACATTCGCTTACACACTGCGCCGCGTCGACACCTCTATCTCTTTTATTTTAATCGATATCAATTCTGCGCGCTTCGTTCAACCCAATACGAACAATCAACAACCGAATACTGTTGTCGTCTGCACACCGAAATGATTCAAATCATTTATAAAATTACGTTATTTACATTTTTTAATCATATTGATTTTATATAAAGTGAAAAAATTACTTTTTTGCATTAATTGTTAGTCTTAACAGAGATGATGCTCCAGAGAAAAGTTTTTTCGACTCAAGACCCATGGGTAGACAACGGTGTACACGAGCGATGGATACTACTCTCAGTGCATTACCAACGAAACCAATAGCAAGAACTAGTATATAAAATTTCCTTCTCTTTATAATTATTTTTTGTGTTTATGTTTTTTATTTGGAGGGTTTTATATTATGTTAGGTTTTTTAGGTGAGTACATTGCAAAGTTGATAAAAAAAAAGGTGAAATGAAAAAATAAGTAGTCTATGATATATGGATAAGATGATCGAGCGGTCGAGCAATGATACCTATGCTTTCGTGTGGTTTTTGAAATAATAAACAATTTTTAATGAGTTTTTTTTGCATTTTTCAGTGCATGTGCCATATGGTCATGGCATCGCCAGGCAGATTAGGCCACTGCTATAAGTTGACTTGATTGAAGAATAATATATACTTATATACAAATAATACTTAATGCCTTTCTTTGTATCTAAACATTTTGAAGCTCACTCTCATTGTAAATGCAGTGTTTTTTTTTTTTTTTAAACTATGCTCTGATAAAGAAAACTTAATTCCAACCAATATCCAGGCACTCTATATCGAGCTACCATATCAGGAGGAGAATATACAAGTAAGTGGGGAAGATGATGGAGTATATAAACGTCCAGCACAACTTAATGCTGAATGTGAAAATGTGTTTGAAAAAGGTAGGCGAATCAGTACTTACGCTTGCGACCCATCGGATGTCGGGGACGCGCCCTTTTGACGATACTTTAAATGATTGTTGGTTAAGTTCATCGAAGAAAATTGGTCGCACAACTTTATTAAAATCTGAAGGTCTATTTCTACCCGCTAACAGGGACAGTCATATACTTGGCAAGCGCTAATTCGTTACCAGTGCTTACTATATTTCTCAAAACAAATTTCGAAGACTCATCTCGAGTGTCCCATGTCCCATGAACATTTTTAGAAGTTTTTTTTTAGAGATGACTTACTTAAACATACTCTAAGCATAGAATTTTTGCACAAATTTTTGCTTTATTTTAATGATATTTACAACTCTACTGAGACCTTTCGAGATGTGAGACTGCGAAGATGACCTTCAAAACATTATAGCTTAAGCTTAAATTAAGTATATACTGCACTTCGAGTCATCAATGCGAAAATACATGTTAGAGGAAATTAAGTATATATTGCACTCGAGTCATGAAATATAAAGTAAGGTTTGGCACATGCGCAGCTTCATTTTTGTGTATGATTGACGAGTTTTTGCAAAAAGAATTTTCGTTATCGTTTTATTTGACAATATTTCCACTGGAATACCATTTCGGTACAATTCGAGAAAACGGAACGGCAAAGAGGATATTCGAAGGGCGTGGAAATAGACATAACAACCTAAACAGGGTTAGACCACCGAAATAACAGCAGTTGGCCGGATGAAATCCGGGTCAATTCCGGTGCGCAGAACCAGGTGTTGTTATGGTTACGCCGACCAGACTTCGGACGCAACAAATTTCCGAAAATCACTGACCGCCATTCACAGTGGACTCCCTTGCAGTGAATGACGTACTCGGAGAAACGAGAGCGCAGCTTCGTTCTGGATACTGCAGCAGGTTAAGCTCCTACCTATCCAGAATAGTCTCCCACATATCCAATATATGTCCTGCGTGTAATGAGTATCCGCATGATACTGAACACCGTCGAAACAGCACGCTTCTTGGGCCTTCCGTTAGATCACGTCGACGACAACTTAACTAATTTTTACCATTCCAACGGCGACTATGTAACCGCTAAAACAACAACAGGGCGTAGAAATCAAAGAAGTTTTATCTGACAAAACGGGTAGATAATGATTGTTGTTGTTATTGTTGTAACAAATCTCCTTCGCTAAGACAGGACTGACCACCTTGTGATCCCATACGGAAGTAAGAGCGAAGTGTGAACAGCCTGCAAAAATGTGAGGAGGATTTTTTTGCTTTTCTTCAAGCCATATCACACATCCGAACATTTTATACGCTTGCAACTTGCAAGGTGAAAGCCAGGGAAATACTTTAAGATATACAACGTTAACCAGAGACTTGCAATGCAAACAATTTTATATATTTACTAGATATAACTCCTATACTGACAGACATATAGGATTTGATAGAAAAACGAAAATCATTGGAATTTAGGATAGTATCGACCAGATTTTATCTATTTTTCCAATGCCACATACTATTAACCAGTCAATCGGATGTTCAAAAATCCTGATATTTGCTATAAAGGTATATGGGGCAAAAGGAAATATTGGTCTGATTCAATCCATTTTTTACATGCAGACATACCGTTGTCAGAGAAAGATTATGTCTGATTTTCAATTATATATTTCACACATTGAATAATATTTTCGATCAATAGTCAACCATAGGTAGTGTGGTTGTTGCTGTTGTTGTTCTAACGGTTATCAGTCCCCGTTAGGATGGTAAGGGTTATCCATGTTGTCGTCGACGTCATCTAGCGGGAGGCCCAGGAAACGTGCTGTTTCGACGGGGTCGGACCAAATGGGAAGGGTTATTAGATGAGTAGGGTTGGCAGGGCATGTAAAGAGGTGGCCAGTGTCTTGCGGAGATTCATTGCATGCAGGACATATATTGGATATGTCGGGGTCTATTCTGGATAAGTATTGGATTAACCTGCTACAATATCCAGAACGAAGCTGCGCTAGGATTAGGTAGTGGGGTCGAACTAATCGGTATCTAGGGACTTGAACATTTTTAGTTGGATTTGAACAGTAAGATAGCATACAAAGTTTCATCTCGTTTTTAAATGCTTCTTGATTTGTGTACCGAAAAGTGAAAGAATTAAGTGAAATTTGAAATTGTGCTATATGGGAAGTAATCGTGGTTGTACTCCGGTTTCTCCCATTTTCGCACTGTTACATACTAATTTGAAACCAATGCCACATACAAATTTTGTTAAAATCAGTCTGTCAGGTCCCAAAATATGAGATTCCCCTAAATTGTGTGCCCTGCCCATTGTCCAATTTTTACATCGGCTCTCATAAAGCCCTCCCACACCACCTTGTAGGTAAAATTTAAAGAATCTGGCGTATTTAGTTATTGTGTTTTTGCGTTTTTAGTAGTTTTGAACAGGACTGTTGGAGAGTAAGCGGGGTTATCTCCGATTTCATCCATTTTCACACTGTGCGTAGTTCTTATAAATCTTATAATATTTGAACCGACAGAGTTTGGTTATTGTAGCTTTATTGTTTTAGGAGATATGTACATTCAACTTATTAGAGGGCAGGGCCACGTATACTTTGTCAAAAAACTTTCCACATCTGTGGCTATTGCGATGCCTTAATTTAGTGGTTAGTTATGGCACTTTACATGTTTTCGGTTAATTTCGATTTGTACTAAGGAACCCGCATACCAAGTTTCATTAAGGCATCTTAATTTTTGCTCAAGATACAGCTTGCACGGACGGACGAACGGACCGGGAGACAGCCATCAGGATTTCAATCAACTTTATTCCTGATCATTTATATATACATGACCCTATATCTATCTCGCTTAGTATAACCATTAGGTTAACAAATACAATGAAGCAACAGAGTTTAAAAATATAAGTGTAAATTCCTTAAAAATCGAAAAAACACGCTTTTTAAATTGTGAATTTTTGAATTTTAAATGCAAATATCTTAAGGGCGACTGTATTATAGAACCGGAGACTATCTTCTATCAGCAATTCATTTAGATCTAGTAGGAGGTACACCTTTTTGTGATTACAAATAGCACGATTTCAAACACTATGGCTAGGTTTGTATGTTTGAAGTTAATAATAAACTTACTTTGATTGCAGCTTTACTCAGAGATATAGCTCCACGGCAACCAAGGTCTGACTCCGACTCTGACTTATAATAAGAAAGAGTGCCATTCTTCAGAACTATATAACGTGGTTGCCAGCCATATATATAATTTGTCCATTTGCTGAGATAACCGCGGAGTTCGATACTGTTATCTAAATATTCATTATCTGAATCATCACTTTGTGAACTAGTATCAACGGGATAAGAATTACGTATCGTTCTGGGATCTAGTGACTTAGGAGGTGTCGAAGACAATGTTCCGATAGTACTTGCTAAAGTATTTGAACTTATGATTGTTGAATAAGAGGATACTCTTGATTTTGTCTCTGATTCTGTGATTAAGTTATCATCCATTTTATTGCTTGTCAAGTAGCTACGATTTTAATGGAATTCTTATATGCTTGTATATTTATCCACCTCATACACGTTTCACAAAATCCGATTTCGATTCAATTAGATGGTGCACTCGAATGAAAATGTATTTAAAGCAGGCGTATTTTAGATATTATTTTATGCAAAAGATATGAGTTAACCGGGATACAATATATTTAAAGCTTTGTTTAGAGCATTTATAAAAACTTATCAGGGATAATAGAAATTAAAACATAGGGCACATGATTTACTTTAAATGTCATATCATCTTGCAACTCTTTATTACTTTCTCACACACGACATTTTTAACTACACCGTTGAGCTAATTCTTACACGAAAACATGATCATCACAAATTATAAAAACAAACTTCAGAACCTGCAACAATAATAATTCAGTGTTACAAAAGCAATGAAATATACGTGAAACCAACTTGTAGAAACACCGGGTGCCTACGTAAGTAACAGGGTGGCAAATAAATTGTGCTTCAAAAACTTTAGGGTGTGAAATCTATTACAACTACATTAGATTTATTTTTTTTATTTTTTTCAATTTTATTTCATTTGTGAAAATTGTGTTTAAGTTTTTAAATAAAGAGATGATTAAAACCAATATATTTTTTCTAAGTAAGACAAAAAATTTCGTCTAGCAATTACGTTTTATATGCCATGTTTATATTTAAAAAACAAAAAACACATATATCTCAAAATTATTTTTTTCAGTCACTTAAGCCATGCGCTTTATTGTTGAATATTTTTAATGCGTCTAGTTTAAGGTTAAACTTCGTTTATAGGTACCAATATCCTTCTGTGTCATTAAGCCTTTTGCAAAGTTTCATCTATATTCTAGCAGAGTACTTTTTTTATTCATTATGAAGTAATTTCTAAAAACTTCGAAAATAATTTAATCATTATTTTTTAGAACGACTGTCAATCCATTAAAAAAAAATCCACGATTCATTGAACTCGCCCCTTTACATTTCCTTGTTCTCTCTCAAGGAGCCTTACAGATGTAAAATAATTTTCGAGGTACATGTACTCATCCTTTCCGCATTCGTCTTATGTGAGACACAAAACCAGGAATAAAGGGATGTTCAACTTATTCCAGTGTGAGAGCACCTCAAAATTAGCGTTTTTTATAACATTTTCCATTATGACCAGATTGGACAAAATAATAATTTTGGGCATTTGAATTAAAACAACCCACATTTAGTGCGAATAAAAATTACTATATACTGGTTATTTATTATATGGAGAAACTATTTAAATTTTTTTAAAGTATATTAGAATAACTGATATTTGACCTTTCAATGCCCAATAAAAGGATTTAATAATTTTCCATTGAAAATAACACTATAATGCTTCAAATTACAAAACCTTTCATCAAATACCTTTAAATTTCACAAATTTATTTAATTTTCATTGTTTTACATTTTTTATAAGTGGTATTGAACGATGCAACGTATCCCTCCGTTTACATATTTTTTTGCTAAGATTTCAATCTGGCCATCGCTCGTTTCCAATTGTTAAACGTCAAAACCTCCTGAACTCGATCAACTGTCAAAGTTTAGGTGGTTTTGACGTTTAGCWATTRTTYTYYCACTTCCAGTGAGAGAGGAGTTAAACATCTCATTATCTCTGCACAAAACCATTCTTTCCCCTTCCCCTTACCCTCTCGCACTTTTCTTCAACAGCTGCATCCTTTCTTTAATGTATTGAAAATAATTTATGGTATCGCTTAATACTCTTAAAACTAATCATAGACTCATCAAATGATAATTTCTTTGTTCCATGATATACTTAGCTGCTGAGAGCGATGGTTGAAAGCTTTAATCCAAAAAACCGAATTTTATATTTTTTCAGGATTTTATATTTTTTATCATAGCATCTGTTCCGTGACATTGATTCCAATATTGTAGATTATGCGCTATTCACTAAATCAATACACTCGATGGCGGCAGTACTGTTAAACAATTTACGTACCAGTATGATCAAGTAAACTTTTTAAAAACTACTTTCCAAATAATGTCAATATCAAGACAAATTGGTCTCTCAGAATGAACAGACTTATTTCGGAACAACACTTAAAATCGTGCAAATTTAATACCAAAATAATGGTTCAATTCGCGTGTTACATCCAATATGCGGTCGACATAATCTTCCAGCAGAGTCGAAAATTCTAGCAACCATGGATCGGTTTCGCACCATATTCACCCTTTTTGGATAATGCGTATAGACGATGTATAGTTCGCACTGAATACGCTTTACTGCTGTAGAGCAAAATATCGTATAGCTCGTATTGGGAGCATTCACTGACAGCGCGAAGCATGTATGGATACTCGACTTTAATTCTTGCAAAAGTTGGAGTTTGTAAACTTGCAACCAACGCTCCCCTAAATCTCCCTTAAAAAGGGTTGGCACAGCCCCAATTTCTGTGCGCGATTGTGAACACACTCATTCAGGTCTTCTTCGATATTCTGCTCTACAGCAGTAAAGCGTCTTCGGTGCGAACTATACGGCATCTATACGTCCATTTTCCAAAAAAGTGATCGTGGTACGAAACCGATCCATGGTTGCTAGAATTTCCGACTATGCTGGACGATTATGTCGACCGACTATTGGATGCAGAGCGCTATGCGTCGCGTGAACCGAAGGAACCGAAGGGTATCCGTATTGCCTCATTGAAAACCATTTGACTAAACATGTACCAGTTTCTTGTATTTAAAAGATCCAGTTGGTTGACCAATTGTTCTTGATATTGACATTATTGGAAAGAAGTTTTTAACAAGTTTAAGTTGTTTAATAAGAGCTGACACACTGTGTCTTGATATAGTGAACACTGACTAGGTCAAGGGTCCAAGCTCTCTATACAATAAAGAAGTTTTTCTGTTTTATAAATGTGCCAAAATTACGCATTACTCGTTTTGCAAAGTAGATTTTTTTAACAATATTAACGTTATTATTTGCTTTTATTATATACAAGTACACAATATGTGTATAAGAACAATAAATACTAGAGTTACATATAAATAAATATTTTATGGATATATTATAACAATAAATTATAAATTCGACTTAGATTGATGATGAGCAAATTGCTATAAATGACTTTTATTGAACATTACTGTAAATTATTCAATTTCCCGAAAACACAAAGGTTGCAAAAATTCTATTCACAGCTTTTTTCTATTTAAAAATATTGTGTTTAAGTTTTTTGTTTAGCAGTAGTTCTCACATGCTAAACAACTTTTTCTTTTTTTGATGGTTTTCTGTTTGCTTCGCTGTTGAGAATTTAAATAATTTATCAGGGAGTTCTTCCTTGATAACCTCATTTTCTTGTAATTCATCATGATCGTCCGTTTGTGATTCACTGTAAAGTAAAAAAGTAAACGATGCTTTCAGTTATTCATACAACTTTTTATTATTTAATTTCTATAGAATTATCAAATGAGAGTGTATAGTTTCATAAAACAAAAATCAAAGTAAGATTGTGGGCATTCAATTCGGAAAAATTTTCGAAAAAAGTTTTTAAAATCTCGTCTTAATATTAACAAATAAGGGAAATGATAACAGTTAACAAGATATTCAGCAAATTTTATAATTTCACTCTGCGTATTAAAGTAGAAAAAATAAATACGATCGTTCGTCTTAAAATTTTGGATCTCATCTTTAATAAATGCAACTTATATTTAATGGCAAATAAAACAATTAAATAATTCCATATCGAGTAGTTGTTATATTTTTTATTTCAAGATTAAGTACATACTTCTCTCAGATACGCAGTAAGGGGACCTAAAACTTTTGGGCCGAAAACACTATTACCCCCAACCATAACGGTTACAAGTTTTAACATATTATAAATAACTATTACGTTTTGAATCAATTTATATACTATAAATATGTATATAATAGAGGAAAACGAATACTTATTTATTTCCGCTTTTTACTCTGAAAAATAAGAAAATCCGTCTAAGTGTGAGTTTTAGCTTTCTACTTTTTCTTACTATCGAGATATCTCAAGTTGCAGCTTGCGCGGTCGGACAGAAAGACAGTCAACCGGACTTCAACTTTTCTCGTCACCCTGATCATTTATATAATATATATAATCCTGTATCTATCTCGCTTAGTTTTAAGTGAAACGTAACATCGGTAGATGAACAAAAGTATAATATTCTGTAGCAATTGGTTGCAAGAATATAAGAAATAATAAAATAAGATACCATTTTGTAGATGAGGAAAATTCACATTAGTTTTGCAATTTAGTTAAATGCTTTTTTTAATTGTGTTATAAAAATCATAAAAAATTTCTTTAAAATATCTTTTAAATGGTTAGATTCACGAAATAATACAATACAAAAACGTCCGAGAAGATCCCTTGTTTTCGATACAAATTTTATTCGGAGATGAGACCCATTTCTGTCTCAATGGGTATGACAAACAAAATTACCGCATTTGTGACGAAGAACCGCCTGAAGAGATTGAAGAGTTGCCAATTCATTCAAAAAAAAAACAACTGTTTTGTGTGGTGTGTGTCATCAGTCTTCAAAAATGATGCCGGTGAGAACGTAACCGTCAATGGCGACAGTTATCGTGCCATGATAAAAGACGTGTCATTCGCCAGTTATCAATCGAAATGCTCGTACCAATTATCGAAAATTCGACTCAACGGATGGACAATCTGAGACGTAGCCGCGGCCAACATTTGAAAGAGATAATCATCAAATAAATAAATTCCAAAAAATGTTCTTTCGAAAGATAATAAACATTCCCCATTAAATTTGAAGTTGCTGTGATTTTTCTTTAAAAATGTGTTATCACCAGTTTATATTTTTGGGTTTAAACAACCGTATATCTGATATAACGGATTTTTTCAAAGCTATTAAAAATGGTCTTCACCGCTAACTCCTTCGAGAAAGCAATTTTATGCATTTGCTAAATTCGCTACAATTACCTGTATTTATCCTTTTGCGTTTCTCTAAATATACTCTTTGGACACTCTTTATAATAGGGAAAACATTCACCGGGAGCTTTCCGACCCTCTCCAATCTCCTGGGCGCGCACATATTCCGGAATAAGTTCGGCAAATGGTGAATTAGATGCACTATTTAAAAATATTAATTAATTTGAAATTATTATTGTATTCATAATAAGGTGCTATTAAATTAAGCTTACGTTAAAAACAGTTTCGTTATTTCGCCGAGTACGCCTAAGTGTTGCAGATTCCGGGAATGAACTTCGCATATTGTACGTAGTAAACAGGCTTTTCCATTTATACCAAAAGTTCCAAGTAAATCCTCCACCACTCCATAAAGTATTACTCTAATTAAATCAAATTATTTATTTCGGCACATATTTACTAATGTTAATCGATATATGGAACTGTATGTTATTCT